TATAGAAGCCATCCTGTGCATCGGAAGACAGAACAGTATCTCTCACCTCTACCCACCGGGTACCAGTAGCAGTTCCCCCACCACCACCATTGCCAAGTGCCCCCTGGGAGGCAAAATCGCTCCCAGTTGAGAACCACTGGGTTAGGATAATACTAGCTCTTGCATCAGATGAACCCCAACATTTTCGATCTTGATTGCTCACGTATGTGACAGCCTCCGTCCAGCCCTCAGTCTCCACACCTGTCAGACAAGTGCTCCTGGTGGATGGACGCTGACTCAGGGATGCAACCTCCTCCCACCTTATACCTCTGACATCCCTAGAATCTTTGTTTGTATCTTCAGTAGCATCACTTGAAAGGGAAAAAGGAAAGAAAAGTCATGCCAAGCGTCCATCAGCAGGGGAGGAGGTAAGTAAATACTAAAGAACGGTCATGCCTTAGACTCCTGTCCCCAACCTATGGTGAGTTGTATAATTATTTCCTTATATATTACGAGGTAACAATAATAGAAATAAAGTGCGCAATAAATGTAATGCGTTTGAATCATCCCCAAAACATCCCCCTCCCACTCCCCGGTCCCTGGAAAAATTGTCTTCCATGAAAACAGTCCCTGGTGCCAAAAAGGTTGGGGACCACTGCCTTAGAACAAGCATCGGCCTGTCACCTGTTTTTGTAGATAAAGTTTTATTAGCACAGAGACGTGCCTGTTCATTTCCATGTTGTCTCCGGCTGCTTTCCTGCTATGGCAGCAGAATTGAGTAGTTACAAGAGGGACCATATAATCTGTAAAGCCTAAAATATTTACTCTCTGGGCCCTTCAAAAAAAAAGTTTTGCTCGTCCTGATGTAGAATATCATACTATCCTTAAATACAGCATCCTAAGTCTTCTTTTCCATGTAACAGCATGGAAAAAGAAATAAAATCTATTCATGTGTTTAAAAGTTGCAAAGAGTTGGGTGCGGTGGCTCACGCCTGTAATCCCAGCACTTTGAGAGGCCGAGGCAGGAGGGTCACTTGAGCTCAGGAGTTCAAGATCAGCCTGAGCAAGAGCGAGACCTCATCTCTACTAAAAGTGGAAAAATTAGCTGGGCATTATGGCACACACCTGCATTTCCAGCTACTGGGGTGGCTGAGGCAGGAGGATCAGTTGAGTCCTGGAGTTGGAGGTTTCAGCGAGCTACGATGATGCCACTGCACTCTACCCAGGGAGACAGAGTGATACTCTGTCTCGAGTAAAAAGAAAAGAAAAAAAAGAACTTGGATTCGACTATTGCATGATTTTTCCTCCATTTCTTCCACAAATAAAAGGAGCAGAACAGAATTGGGGTGAAGAATAGTAAGATGAAAGAGGATAGTTTTGGAGGAAACCACATCAACACATGGTAGGAAAAGTGCCTTAAGAGTCAGGTTAGAAATCTCAGGAGTGGCTCTAAGAAAACTGTCTAAAGATGGAAATTTAAGGACCATGTATAGGGGAGCACATTTGCAAATCACTGGGAGAAGGGTTGTTGAGGGGAAACATAGAAAATATCCCAAAGCCAAGTTATGGTTGCTTTGGGAATAGAAAAATGAAGTTTGTCATGGTCAAGAGGCTGCTCTACTGAGGAGTCTTCCCAGGGCCATCTTCATGTCCTTGTTCCTCAGGCTGTAGATGAAGGGGTTCAGCAAGGGGGTGACCACCGTGTATATCATCGAGGCAATGGCGCTGCTCTGGGAAGAAGGGGTCACAGCAGAACTGAGGTAGACCCCAAGTCCTGTTCCGTAGAACAAGCAGACCACGCAGAGGTGAGACCCACAGGTGGAAAATGCTTTGTACTTGCTTGCAGTGGAGGACATCATCCTCATTAAGGAGGAGACAATCTTAGAGTAAGAGAAGAGGATCCCTGTGACGGGAAACACACCCAGCAACACAGTCGACACGTACAAGTAGATGTCATTGATGAAGGTGTCAGAGGAGGTCACCTTGAGGAGCTGAGGCAGGTCACAGAAGAAATGTGGGATTTCTGTGCCTATAGAGAAGGTCAGTCGCATTGTCAGTAGAAGGTGAACCAGCGTAGCCAGGGAAATGACGCACCAAGACATCAGTACCAGGAGGGCACAGTGGCGGGGCTTCATGATGACCGTGTAGTGCAGGGGGTGACAGATGGCCACAAACCGGTCATAGGCCATCACGGTCAGAAGCATGTCATCCACACAAACAAAAAGCAGAGCAAGAGACATCTGTGTCAGGCAGCCCCCATAGGAGATGACTCTGCTGTGAGCTAGGATGTCCACGATCATCTTGGGGACGGTGGTGGAGGTGAAACAGATGTCAACAAAGGACAGGTTGGAGAGGAAGAAGTACATGGGGGTGTGGAGGTGGGCGTCGGAGCTGACGGCCAGGATGATGAGCAGGTTCCCGAACACCGTGACCAGGTACATGGACAGGAACAGTCCGAAGAGAAGGGGCTGCATGTCAGGATCATCTGAGAGACTCAAGAGGAGAAATTCTGAGAATTCTGTGTGGTTTTTTGCCTCCATGCAGCTGGGGAAGGAAGCAAAAGCAATGTTCAGAGATTAGCCAACTGGCGCCTCAGCTGCTTACTATTTTACAATATCACGCTTGGAGGGAAGGTCTTTACTTTTACTAGGGAGAGTAGTGAATTAGGCAAATGGAAATGTGTAGGCTTATTTATACTCCTTTTAATTTAAAATACATCTATTTTATCATCTATTTACTAGTTATGATTCTCCTATTTCGATCCATGGACATTAACTAATTCCTTTTTTGATACGACCCTTCTAAACTATTGAAGACAGGCCACACCTTCTCTTGGTAATCACCTTACTTCGTTCTCCTAGCTCTGCAATAGTGATTAATCCATGGGTTTTCAACTCTAACAGTGTTTCTTCTCTGTTAGGACACTAGCCAGTGTTGGGACACTTAACTTTCAGTGCCTTAATTTGTTTTCAGAAAGTGTGGTTGTCAATATCACGTCGTTTGCAAAGTAAAAAAAAAATGTCTTCATGAACAATAAGAGCCTCGATAAATAACGGCTGTTATCGTGATTATTATTGTGAATGTCCACCTTTCGGGATAATGATATTGGATCGATAGCTCTCCCAAGGTACGGCATACATCTGCGATTTAGAAAATGTTTTCTTAACAGACATCCTGGACTAGAACTTTGACCCACCAATTTACTACTGCGTGGCCTTGAGAAAGTGATTTAAACACTTAGCTGCAGATGTCTCATCTCTACAGTAGGAATAGTAAATATTCTCTGCCTGGACCAAAGAGTGTAATTAAGTGAGATGATGGATTCATTTTCCTACTGTGGTCGCTGTGACGTGCAATAGATATTTCATAAATGTGATCTTCTGTTATTAGTATCACACTACATCAGTCTTGCATGCCTGCCATTTATCAATATCTCGATTAAATGGGGCAGCCCTCGGGGATGGAATTCTGACCATTATAAATACATCAGGTCTGTTACCTCTTTTGACTGCCATACAGGACTTCTGATTAGCGAAGATTCTTACGCCTCCTTCTTTCAGAGCATGCCTGCCAGGTGAATTCCTCTAAGATGAGGACTAGGAAGTGAACTACACACACAAACGGAGAAAACAAAGCATGCAACCATTAAAATCAAATACACGGCATGTGTAAAAGTGTGTGCCCATGTGTACATGCTCTCAAGAATGGACGTATTGTATTAAAATCAACAGAATTAATCATCCACATCTACAACGGATGGATTTGATTCAACGTACTCAAAACGTACACAAATCAAGTCATCCTAGAAAAATCCAAAGCCAAATTTGAATTTCGAAAATAAATGTGTATGTTCTCCAGGATGGAAAAAAGCTCTGTATTACTAAGGCCTAGAGAAGTTTAGTAAATTAAAGATAGAAAAGTAAATCCTAGAGGAACGATGGAGTCTGGGAAGTTGCATAGGTGGGATTTCTTCCGTAAAATAGGAATATTTGAACTGAGAGAGGAAGGACGGGTCAGTGTTCATCAGGGAAAGTAAGAAAGAATAAAGTGCCTAGGGTTTGAGAACAAAATGCTAGACTGCAGATGGCTCTGCGAGCTTTGTAACGGGGATTTGAGGGACCAGTGACACGGAGAGCAGAGAATGAGAGTCAGGAGGGACAGAGTCTGTGAGCCCCACAACAGAGCAACCTGTGCTCACTCTTGATGTGCATCTCCTGTTGGTAATTTTACGTTTACTTGTGGGTCTGAGATGTGACTGTTTTGTCTCCTTATTTTTCTTTCCAGGCATGTACGTGGTGCCTGTCACATAGTAGGTGCTCAACAAACACAAATATTGGATGTTTCGTAACTATTGAGATGAAAAGTGACAACAATAACACACAAAAAAGACATCTTCAAGCTCACCCCATGCCTGGATATAGACTCGAAATTGAAGAGTCAGTTTAAATAAAATAGATTCATGTCTATTTTAAAAGAATATTACATGATGAATAAGGAATGCCTAGTCTAGGAATGGGAAAGTGGTTTCAAGTTAGGATGGAGGTTAACATAGATGGTCACAAACACATATTGAGAAAGAGAAATCTTAATTATAATTGCAATGCAAGAAAATGTATTTAAGGAAATTAATAAATGTTACTCCGGTAAGCAGCCCAGGTAGAGACTCTCTAGACACACACAAAAAACAAGGATAACATGCTAACCCTGGAAAGAATGGTTGCTTGACAACCACAGCCAACAGGATTTTCTACGTCAACATATTAACTGCCATGTGAGTTATATTTAACTCATGAAGCAAAATCCGGGCGAAACCCTGTAGTGGGTTCCTGAAAATCTTACTTGTTGATGTTCTTATTGTTACAATTAATAGTGACAATTTAATTCTAAAAACGAGATTACATGAATAGAAGTCAGTAAATTTCGTTTTTCTATTTATGTTCACCTTTCAATTATACTTAAGCCCGACAAGTCCAGGAAAACACTTTACCCTTACAAACTATTTTTCAAGTTTTCACGTTACATTATACATGACTCCTTTTCAAGTTTTTGTATCAGTTTTTTATGGAAAAAATGCAGGAAATGATACAAAAAAATGAGTTTTTCATTCAATTAAAAAGGATCATTTTGCTTCTGAAGTTTTTATTCTATTTTCATAATGAAACACTGTCATCCCAAGGAAAAAGAATTTTTTTTTTCTTGCATGGCTGTCACTGTATTAAAATGCTACACCTTTTGTGTTAAATGCATAAGTAGGCCATGGCATATTTGAAGAGATTGGTAAAATAGAAAAATGAAATGATCTTGATTACCAGATGTTAGAAATGATTATATTATGGACACCAACAGGAAAAAAATAATGACAACAACAGCAATAACAATATAGAATTATTCGGTGATTTCAGTAAGTCAGATATGCCGGCAAAAGCAAGTGGGTAACTATAAATTAAAAATAGACAACGCCTTGTGCGTAATAGATCTTCAGTGAGTAGCTGATGAATAAGTGATTGGATTCAGGACCCTCTAACAGGAACCTGTAGTATTTGAGAGATGGCAGATAAGATACAAGGACTGTCCAGAGAATGTTGTATTGAGAAATGGCCATTTCTAGCTCTTACTGGAAAGAGATTCTAGATTCCAGAAAGGAAGAAAAGGAACAAGAATGAGAGATGGCAAGGATGAGTCTCAGTGGAAACTAAATTACCTTCAAAGCACAAGGACTTCACCTGAATAGATTAAATAAATATAGGACTGTCCCACACTCATTATTCTACAGATAAAGCCCAGTGCATGCTTTCTTCTTTTCCTTCTTACCCTACCCGACCTCACTGATCACGCCAACTCTATCCGATGGTTATCACTGAAGACTTCTCCTCTCCACAGCTTGTCCTTGGGAAGCCTAATTTGGTTTTCAGGTACGCCGTCATCAGAAAATTACGGGTGAGGGGCAGAGGGGCATGCTTAAAGTTTCTATTGTCTCAAGAGTTGAATTCCCAGAGCACCTCATTAAATGAATTGTAATATTGTTTCTCTGCTCTTCAAACAATTCAGCTCTCCCTTGGGATACAAGGTCGACCGGAGAATGCAATGTTTCTAGTCAATTTTGTGTCTACAGAGCGGTAGGGGAGGATGGGCTTATTTATTTCCTCAAGGGAGAAACTCTTCTTCCTTTGGTTTAATTTAAAATCACAAAGGTTCCGCTAAAGGAAAGTTTAATTTCTACAAGCGATCAAACTCAGGCATCATCGCTTTGTGAGGTGTCACCGTTGAAGAAAGTTTGGAGATTTTTCGCATCTCTTGGTGTCCATGATATTATGGAAGCAAAGACATTTTTTTCGTCTTAAATTTCAGCCCTTAATTTTTTAATCAATTTATGGGTGTATGATTGATGTGTATGAAGCTGTACATATTTACTGTATCCAACTTGATGAGTTTGGGGGTAAGGATACATCCATGAAACCATCACCACCATCAAGGCCAAAGAGATATCAATCACCTCCCAAAATTTCCTCCAAAATTCCGTATTATTTTAATGCATGATAATAACATTTAACATAAAATGCCCATTTTAGCCATTTTTTAGTATTCCATACATGATTATTGGCTAGAGACACTAAGCTGTGTAGGAGATCTCCAGGACTTATTTATTTTGCATCACTAAAATCCTGCATGGTTTGACATTGTCTTCCCATTTGCCCCTCCCCCCCACCCCTGTCAATCATCATTTCACTCCAGAGATGTTCTTTCGGAAGAAAAGCAAACAGTAGTTTTGTTCTGTTGAAAGCACTACCCAAATTGGGAGGGGGAAATAACCTCTGACGTTTGCTGGTGACTCGGGAGCCTTTATTGATAATAGGACTTCATTTATTACCACCAAATAGAGGAACAGGGCAGTAATAGCCCAGGTGGAGTCAGTAAAGTGTGCGTGTAGAGGAAATACGGGTGGCAAATGTCAACCAACTGTAAAGATTTTCATGGAAGGAGAAAAGAGAGATTAAAACATTGCCTAAAGGGAGTATGGAGATTTGGATAGTGTTCTAAAAATGTTTTTAGTGGAAACTATGGGAACGTGTCTAATTTCAAAGAGAATAAATATAATTAATGCAGGCACTGGAATACACAGGAAATAACAGCTACATAACCTGAAGGATGTCAGATACACAGTAAGCCAACGAAAGGTTACAGTGTCCCGTATCCCCGGTGTTCGAAATACACGGGTCCAGAAAGCAAGCATTGGAAGTTAATTGACCCCACCTAACATAACTCGCAGGGAACGACTTGGGGAGTGTGTGCTTCTGGTCTCTGCAAGTACAAATTGTGTAGATGTAGAAGCCTTGACTCTTGAAAGGCTAACTTTTCTAGAGACAGGGCAAACGTCTTAATGACCTTCCAAACATGATGCTGCCTGAAATTTCAGTGCTTTCATGCCAAGAAGAGGAGTTACCACCCTGGCAGGTGGAACTGACCCAGGTCATCATTGTCATTGTGGGGCCCAGGAAGCAGCATGCACAGGTGTCTGGCTGTGCTCAGTCGGTGGCTGGGA